CCTGCTGAATTTGACTTTCCCAAAAGAAATTCCTAATGAGCCACGTAGTACCTGGGCTACAGGGATTGTGCTTCCATTGGAGATGGGAGGCTCTGTCAGCAGTGGGCAAACGACTTGTGCTCAGGATACACATTTTTACCTCTCCCTAGCCCTGGCTATGAACTCTGGGGTGTCCTGAACCCTGTCAGAGATGCGAAACCACAAATCCTTCTTAAACTGAGGATCTTGAAGACAGAAAAATTAAGTAATTCCTGCTAATTATTTGAGTACTGTTCATTCACTGAAGCTCTAGCATTTTTTTTCCAGGTCAGTTTAAATCAAAAGCAGCATTAACATCCATCAAACTGTGTGTATTCCTAAAATCTCCTTGAAAACCCAAGTACCACTTTCAATATCAATCTTAGCTATTTATTTCTTTCGTTTGAAACAGAATCATCTTTTATTTCTTTTATTTCTCCCAGTACATCCTCCTTACAATATTTTGCTCTGACACAGTCATCCACAGGACATCAGGAGAGAGCTGAACACCCCTTGCCTTTTAAGTAAGCATGGGGAGATTAGGAGTGTGTGAGGAGACTAATCTCTTTCTGGCATTAAAATCGTCTTTCTTCCCCGCCCCCCTTCATCTTAGGACAACTCATTCTGCCCTGAGGCTTAAGGAGAAATCACAGCCCAGGGTTTCATGTCTCCAGGCCTAACGATACAGCAGTACCTAAGTGGAAGTTTTCTCACTAGATGCCCCAGACAAATTCCTCAGGGGACCCCTTCTTCCCATCTGCTTGTAATGCATTTGGGAAAGGGGGGCAGAAGACACGTATTGCCGTGCTATTAAGAAAGTGAAAAAACATCACCTGAAGTTTTTGAATCAAATTTGTAGTTAGGAAGTGATGCAGAAAAAAGGATGCCGATTAGCCTATCCCAAATGTAGAACACCACTGCCGCACTCCTCCAGCTGCGGACTCCTCGACTTTTTGGCTTACGAGTTTTGGGAGGAAAGCCTGGTAACCCCGTTAAACTGCCACACGCGGCAGGTTTGATCACAAGGCAGGTGACACCTCTGTAGCATGCTTCACCTGGAGAACTGCCATGCTGGGGCAGCTCTATGGATACAGAAGCCATAACTCCTTCCAGCCTTTCCTAGTTTTCAGTCGCGGCCATGCTGCTGTAAACAGAACACTGACAGCTGGCTCACACAGGGGTAACGAGACTGTTATTTCTCACACTGTCTTTGGCATCTAATTCCAAACTCCCAGACCACCCCGGATTTTACAGTGCAACAGCACTAGGGGCTGAACTGCGCCGTCTCTAAATCACCGGTTACTAAAGGCACAGAGGTTAATTCAGAGCGTGAAGCCACTCAGTGTGCACTTACCGAGAACTACCCTGTACTCTGTACCACCCAAGCTCAGTACCCAAGTGTTGGTGGTTTTTGACCTGTTCTCCATGTACTTCTTGAGGCTCTTCCCGTTGATCTCCAAAGTATATTCATAGGCAAAGCCACTGACTGCATCGATGTTGATAGTAGCTTTTGTTCCGCTTGCTCCAACTGTGAACGTTTCTTTACCCACTAGCTTAAACATCCATTCTTTCCTTATTTCTTCCTGTAGAATAAAATCAAGACAATGGGTATTAATTGACAAACCTGAATGCACGTTTCAGTATTAAAAAAATGAACTAAAACTCAGGAAACGGCTCAGTCCTTATGTGTCCTTTCAGAAAGGACGAACACACGGTTATTTCGTACATCCAGAGTGCCTCTGCCCAGGGACAGCAAAGCGCATCATGAATACTCACACCTCAACTGCAACTGAAAATAAGAACGGTGCAGTTCGTTACATGAGGTAAGGTTAACCCACTGAATATACCTCACTTGCATTTCTTAGTCTCTCGTGTGCTCTGATGCCTGCTGCGCGGCAGAGCACTTACACAGTCTGCATGACAGTGAATTCCGAGCGCGCAGCAACTTCACCTTTCCGTCAACATAGACGACTCGCTTTCCTGAAGTGGTCCCATGCTCAAATTCGATCTTATGAACGCCGTCACTCAGAGCTACTTCCCAAACCGCCACCAAATCCGTCATCTTCTCCAAGTAGCTGTACTGAGACCTACGGAAACACCGACAAAGGAAATTAACTGTCCTTGGAAGAGTTCAGTTACTGATGTCTATAGCTCAGAGCTTCACTGCTTCGGGGCAAGTCACTTTTGCAAATGAAAAATGAGACCTGAAAGAATAAGCTTGCAGAACTGCTTATGTTTTCATGTTTTTCAAACATTCCACTATGACAAAATATCACAAAATACGAACAGTTGAACAGACTCACTTTGACAACCACCATACAAACACATACATATCCATCTAACCTCTAAAACTTACATTGCAGGTGACAGCACGGTTACAGAATTGTACTGAGAATGCAGATGCTCCTGGACAGCTCTGTGATTTCTCACCAGGTGTGAAAATACAGGATTTTGACTGGTCTCTGAGCAAGCGTTTTAGCCTCTTAAGCTTGAAAAACAGTCAGCATGTCCAGTTCAGCTGTTACCTGTTACCAGGTTTGCCTGTAATCTCTCTCAAAAACGTTACCTACAGCATTCAGAAATGCAGCTCTGCATACACAAACACAGGGGAGGAGATCTGGCAAGATATCCTTTCACTTAAGTAATTTGCAAACTTCAGATACAGTCACAAGCGACCCCGGAACTGCGGATATCTTTCCCAATCTGCTCATACCACACTTCCGATATTTTACCTTAATTCGTCTTCACAGACAGTAATCTCCTCACGGGATGCCATAGTAACCAAAACAGCTTTTAATCCAATTAGCAGCCAGAAAAAAAGAAAAGCAGAATAGCAGCAGAGGAGTGTTGAGGCCTCGATTTCTCCCGTTTAAGATAAAGGACATTAAAAGTGTCACAAACTGCCATGCACTACTGTATACATCTGATGGAGTACAAGCATAATTTTTTTCCTCTTAGACAAAAAAAGAGCAAATCTACATATTCTTTTACAAAACTATCATGTGCAACTTATCCTCACTTTACTGGCACATCAGAAATTTGTCCGTTATTTGATAGAAAAATGGTTTGCTTAACCTGTGCGAGCAAAAGCTTAGCAACAAACAGCTCGACCAAAGGCAGGAGCCAAATCCAGAGCTGCCCATCTCCTACCCGTTTTTCTCAACCACTCTAGTAGTTTTCAACAACCCTATCAGCAATCTGACCTGGCAATTCATTCGTAACGTCTGTGACCCACAGATCACTTCTCTCTTACTTAGGTTTTTAGACCACGACTCTGTTTTACAACGCTGCTGACTTGCTCGTTTCGCTAAATGAATTAATTGGTGAAGAGCTATCTGCACGGTCTGTGCATATCAATCAGTGCAAATAGGTGAATTTTTGATAAATTGTACTTTTTAGTGAACAATGAATTTGAAAGAAAGTTCTAAGTTCAGGGTGTCTCTTCAGCATAACAGAGGAACATGCATTTAAAAATTAAGCTTCCTTCACTCCAACTCAAACTTCTATTTTAAAAGATGCTTAAGTGCTCTGAAGTTGCCCAGGGAAGCTGTGGATGCCCCATCCCTGGATGTCTTCAAGGCCAGGCTGGATGTGGCTTTGAGCAACCTGGTCTAGTGGAAGGTGTCCCTGCCCATGGCAGGGGGTGGGACTGGATGATCTTTAAGGTCCCTTCCAACCCAAACCATGCTGTGGTTCCACCCTTCTGTGTTACTGTCAGTGGTTTTATCAGGAATTACGCACATCTCCATTCATAAACAATGTTTTGAAAGCAGTGAAACCGTTTGAAGGGTGTAGGGATTTCATTCCCACAGCAGCGAGCAGCCTACACCCCCCCTAATAAATGCCAAGGGGTCTTTCCGGCTGTTCGCCCAGTTCGGGGTCGACGCTGCAAAGGTTCGCATCCCCGGGAAGTCGGGCAGGGTGAATTTCCGCACACCCCTCTGCCCTTCTCCTCAGAGGCACGGGCGCAGGGGCTCAGGACAGACCCCAGCTTGTCCCCGCCAGCTAACGAACTGCCCGGAGAGGTGGCACCTGGAGCAGGTCGCCAAGCTACCCACCGAGACCCCATCACCGCTGCCAGGACCAACCTGCGGCATCGGAGCTGCGGCAGAGTCTGGGATCCACACTGAAAACATCGGGAAACATCCCGGAACACAGTTTCTTTTATTTTTTTAAACGAATCATGGTAACGGGGCAGCACGTTTTCATCGTTTAAGCCAACCCTGGAGGCCAGCGAACACACGGCCGGCCCTCGAGCC